TAATTTTCAGTGAAAAATTGCTTCATAATTCCTGAGTCCATGTTTGATCCAGATAGCCACATGTAGCTGGCAGATTTACCCAATTCTGATGACCAGTAACTTGAGGTGGGATTTTCTAATTTGTTGGAAGCAAAGGTTAGAAAAGGAACTGAGATTAGGCTATGGAATCAACTCTGGTTTAAGCAGAAAGAGATTTAATAAAAGATTTTAAGTGGCTTATAAAATTGTTGGCAAGACTGAAGAAACAAACTCTAGATCTGTAAAAAGCCATGTTGCACCTGGGCCACCAAGAGAGTTATTGCCTCTTTTAGGATCAGAAAGGCTTTTTCAGAATTGTGAAACTGTAACTTTTAGATGCTGTCTTAGAACCTTGCCATCTCTGCCGTGATCAGGAGTCTGCTCCTATTAGGAAATAGCCATTAGTAAGCAGCCATCTTCATCAGTAAGCTGTTGTCATTATTTCTAGCCCTAGAGCCAAGCCCTGCCTACCACAGCGTGTACTGCAGAATGGATGCCTTGTGCCTTTCTTAATATTCTTGAAACCTGTGACTGAATACTAGCACTTCTGCAAATACTGCTGTGGAACATGAACATCTCCATGACAGTGTTTGCTAGTAGAAGCAACCCAAATTCAACCTCCCTTCTCTTTTGTCCTTAAAATTTAGTGAGTGCATCTGATTGGTGGAACTTAAATCACATTTACAACTCTAGCTGCAAGAGAGGCTGGGAAATGTATTTTTTAACTTACTGTTCTCTGCAGTACAGGAAGACATACACTGAAGGAGGTTGAAATGGGTGTTGAACAGTAACCTACCATATTTACTGCAGGTTCAGAACCTGATTCTCCATAAGGTTGGCTGTCATTAAATTAGCTATAGATAAGTTGAGAACGTTTGCAAATAATACCATCAAACAATGTTGAGAAACTCATTTGTTTCTTAGTATATTTTTATTGTTTTATAATGACAACATTAAAAAAAAATGACAACATTAAAAAAAAAAAAGCACTAGAATTTGTCCTTCATCTCTATGGTGAATTAAGTGGTCTGTGGATACCAAAAGTTTCCTCATGTTTAAGATGTGGTTAGTGGCTAAAAAGCCTAAAATAGGGAGTATAAGAAAAACTGTCATAAAGCGTTACCTGAATTGAGGAAAGGTTAGTGTTGTCAAATAATGAAGAGGGGTCAAATAAGGTGGGACTGGAAAGCAGTGATATGATTTGGGCACTTAATATTAGTGTTCTTTTTTTTTTTCTATTGAGACAGGGTCTTGCTCTTTTGCCTAGGCTGGAGTGCAGTGGCACAGTCTCAGCTTACTGCAACCTTTGCCCCGGGCTCAAGCAGTCCTCACACCTCAGTCTCCCAAGTAGCTGGGACCTCAGGCATGCACCACCACACCTGGCTAATTTTTTGTATTTTTAGTAGAGATGGGGTTTCACCATGTTACCAACGCTAGATTTGAACTCCTGAGCTCAAGCAGTTTGCCCACCTTGGGCAAACACTTTGCCCCCAAAATGTTGGGATTATAGGCATGAGCCACTGCACACAGCCTTATTAGTATTCTTCAAGGTTTAAAACAAAAAGTAGAAAAGTAGGATGAGAAGGCAAGTTGCAGGTTTAGGCTGTGAATTGAAGGGGACACTTGAAAGCAGAGATTATAGAATAAGTTTTCAAGAAACTTGGCAATAGATTTTTTTTTTTTTTTGGTCCAAGGCACATGCTCAGTTATATACCAGAACTGGCTAGAGTTCATGAGCCTCTGAGGCCCTGAACAAATATCACACACCAGCAAGTACAATCTTCCAGACTTCTTCACTTTTGTCTTTTTGTGCAGCTTGTTATAAAGTGTGGCTCTTAACGTATTCTCTTTATGCTTAGAGATATAATATGTACAACATTATTCTTACTATATCTGTAACCATTACTTCATTTGTTATTATGTTGTTTATAAAGGGCCAATAAATTACTATTATAGTTTGGAGTTACAGTAGCTGACTTAACGTATTTGTACAATTGATTGTTGAGCTGGGCATTGATTAGGTGAATTAACTTTCAACAAAGTTTATTTGAATTTCAGTCAGTGGTAGATATTTAAGAAATATGGATTATGATAACTGCTTTTATAGGCAATGATGCTCAGTACCTTTATTCATATTATGTAGAACCTAAGTTTTCTTTGTTCTAAATAAATATCTGATAATGTCAGGTTCCTTGAATTCTTCTGATAAAATAACCTCATTGTTTTAAGAGGGAGAGGGAAGTAGAATATGTTTAAATTTATGTAATATTGTTTTCGCAAACTGCACTTACGTGAATGAAACAGAAACGTGTTCAAGGGCAGTTATTTAGTGTTTCAAATTCTCCCATTAGATATAAAGCATATTTATTATGGAGCATATTTATTAAGTAGAGAAGTATTATGATCTAATTCCAAGTTTTTTATATTTGAGGTCCTATGTGGTGACCTTTTGGTTAAAAAAAAAAGTCTAAATTTATGCAGAAGGGAGATGTCAAAGAAAAAGGAGTGGCTGAAGGACAAGAATGTTGAAAGTAATGAAAATACAATTGCTAGACAGTGTCCTGGAGGGAGTAAGAGGGAATGAAGTAGAGAGAGCCCAGTTAAGTGGATGAGCTTTGGATGAGAAGAGGAACAACTAGTCTTTGAAGGAGAGGGAAAGTGGATGAATACAGGTTCAGATTTATTTTTCTTATTAGGGACCTGGTTTATTTGTAAGGACCAACCCGTTTTAGGCAACTTGGGGATCATTTAAAAGGTTAGATTCCTCAATTCTGACTTGAGAAGAACATAAATTTGTTTATTCTGTTTAATTGGTAACTTTATTTTTAAAAAAATCTTTCAGTGACCCATTTAATAAATATCTTACTGGTACTATTCCATTGGTTTTCTTATTTTAATTTTTATAAGTTGTTTGTTTACTGAGTTTTTTATAGGTGCTTCTTAGGTTTCTGATAGACTTCTCTAAAATATATTGGTTTAAATGGCCTTTAAAGTTGATAAGCAGAAAAATACTTGAGTTTATCTAGTCCAGACCTTCATCAGGAAAGCTGTGATTCAGTGATTTGTCTGAAGTCATATAGCCACTTAGTAGCAAAGTAAGACAGGAATATTGGTTCTATGGTTCTTGTGGTAATGCTCTTTCCCACATGCCAACTGATTGCATAAGGGAACTGGTGTACTGATTTCAGCACCCATAATTGTGTATGTCCTTTGAGCTCTGAGTGTCAAAGAACTTCAAAACTAGACTTTTTGGGTTATTTAATATTCCTTCAACAAATATTTCTCAGCTGTCTATTCTATGACAGTCACTGTTTAAGATCTTGAAGACCAATAAGTTGTCAGGTCTCAAGAATGGGGGGACCAAAAAATAAACACTGAAGTAACAATGAACAGAAGTTTAGATAATTATCAATGCTGTCAAAGAAACAAAATGGAGAAATAGAATATGGTAGCAGAACTATGTGCTTTAGGTATAATAGTCAAGGAAGATTTCTCTGAGTTAGTGATATTTAGGCTGAGCCTGAATGATAAGGCACTAGCCCTATCTGTCTCTAGGAACATAGCATTCCAGACAGAAGCCCTAAACTTAAACATGATGTACATTGATGAATGAAAAAACACTGCCCAGGGTTAGGGGAATGGAAGGAGAAGAGATCAGAGAGACCATTGAGTAGGGCTGTTTAGATGGTGGTATGGAAAGATAATTTTATTCTAAGTGAAATGGTGTGATATTGAAGGAGAGGAGTGAGTGAGTAAAGAATATGTTTCAAGTATCACACTGCCTGATGGAGAATGGATTGTAGGAGGGTCAAAAGTGGAATCAGGGGTACCAGTTAGGCAACTCTCATGTTTGTCTAAATAAAAGATTATGGTGGTTTAGAATGGGTGATTCTAGTCAAGGCAAGAAGTGGTTGGATTTGAGATTTATTTTGGAGGTCTGCTGGATTTGCTGAAGGACTGGGTATGGGAGTTTGGGGGAAGTCGTGGGAAGATGGTGAGAGTAAGAGGAAAATGGTAGACTGGGGAAAGGGGATGTTTTAGGGAAGGAAATCCAATGTTTTTTCTGGGACTTGTTAAATTTGAAATGCCTACTGGGTATCCAAGGAGACAGTTGAATAGTCACATCTAGTGTTTGTTGAGAGGTTAGACCTGGAGTTGCAGATCTGGGAGGCGTCAATATTAACACGGTATCTGGCACAGTTGGCAAAGAGAGGGAAGAGAGGGTGGTCTGGAATTGAGGCATTGTATGTTTAGAGGTGAGGAGGCGGAGAAGTCAGCAGAGAGCCAGTGATATAGGAGAAAAGTCAGAAATACTGTGTTGTGGAAGCCAAAAGAAGAGAGCATTATGAAGAGGAATATTTCTGCCTGCTTGGATATGATAAGAACAGAGAAGTGACCATTGGATTTGGCAATGTGGAAGGCATTAGTGTCCTCAGCTAGGGCAGTTTCAGTCTCATGGTGGGGTCAGAAACTGATTGGAGAAGGTTGAAGAATGAGTGGAAGGTAAGAAAGAAGAGACAATGACTAGAGGTGATGCTTTTAAGTTTTTTTTTCTTTTCGTGTGCTTTTTTTAAGTTGAGAAATTCCCATCATTATTTGTATGCTGATGGGAATTATTCACTAGAGAGGAAAATTAATGCTGATTCAGTAAAGAAAGATTAATTGTGGAGTAAAGTCCTTGAGGAAGTATTGGTAGGTGGGATAGAGAGCACAGATAGACGGATTGCCCTTTCATAAGAGTGGGGATGCAATTACCTAATTAAAAAAGGGAACTCACAAGTCACTTTACACACAGCCCCTCCCTTTAGTCTTATGAGTTTCCTTTAGACCAACTTGATCTTTCTCTAATCACTAGTTTTTGTTTTGTTTTTTTTTTTCTGTGCCACATTAATATGTTCTTTCAGACTGAAGTCATCCTACTTAGGCTTGGTATGAAGCACTTGATGATATTTAATACCAATTTTCAAATTTTGTGCCAACAGGTGAAGCAAAAAATTTATTGCCCTATCTTGGACCCCACAAAATGAGAGATTGTTTCTGTACTATAAATTTGGACCAGGAAGAAGTTTATCGTACCCAAGTTGTGGAAAAATCTTTAAGGTTGGTAAATAAATTGGTAAATTATCATTTTTATATTTTTACTACATATATTGATTGATAAATATTATGCATTTTCCACATTATAGTCATCAGGAAGACAAGATAGACACAGTGTCTGCTTTCTTGTGGCTTTTCACTGCTTCAAAATGTATCTTTCTCTTAATTGTTCCTAATTTTATCCCTTGGTTTTCTGGAGAAAAGTTTTTTTCACATGACGGGCTAAATATTGCCTATTTGTTTGAACTTTCCTCAAAGTACATCTTTATTTTATTTATCTAAACAATAAGTTACTTAAAGTTCATACAAGTTGCTTAATTTAATAGTGCATTGCCAGGGAATGCTCAGGTAAGTATCTCATCTTTAAAAGTGTAGTTGCCCTTTGAGAGTGTCATAGTAAATCCTAATTCATAAAATTGGAACATACCACCACTGCACTGTACCAATGCGAAAACATAGTTCTGGTGCAAAGCTGTGCCAAGAATCTTGTTCAGAGACAAAAGTCAAAACACGGTATGGGGAATTATTGGAATGAGAATGTAGTGAAATATTGAGTGCCATACCTTATCTGAATCATATTTTAGATCAGTTGTATTTTAGGGATCTGTTTTTGATGCCTTCTTTTAAATATCTTTTTTTTTTTATATTTATCTTTAAAGTTTTCCTTTATGTCTTTATTTTCATTTTTATAATTTTATATATCTATTGAGTTCTTCATAGAAAAGGTATTATATAGAACTGAAAATACTTTAGTAGCCCGAAAACATTTCAAGTGGTAAACTTGAAATCTTTAGTCATAATTCTCATGTCGTTCTTATTTGGCTTTAGAAGGTACTTTCAACATAATATTGGAATATAGATGTGGTACATAAAGGAAATTCTGCATTTATAATTGTTTATAAAATAATGCAGAGGTAAATACCTGCACATGTCTTTCATGTCATATCTTTGACTAATAGTTCTTTTCGCGTTGATTTTTATGTTGAAATTAATTAGAAGGCACTAGTTACTTTGTGAGACCAACTTTTAAAAGTTTACTTTGATTACATTTGAAGGGAAAAATATAGTGACAAAAGTTCAGGCATTTTAACAACTAAAAAGCTGAAGTGTTTTCTAGACAAGATTAGATATGACTTCTGTAAGAGTGTTTTATTTTATATTTCAGCTTCTCATTTAGTTATGACATCTTAAAGATACTACATTTCATAGTGACATTTCTAGAGAATCTTTTTGTTCTTTAAACTTTCTCAGGAAAGAGGCACACCTGACAAAAGAAACTATCATTTGGGAGATTCACGTCTTCATAGAAAAATTTAAATATATCAAATGGCATTCTTAAAATGAACTTATAAAAATAAGCTTTGCAACATGAGGATAGGCAAAGATTTCTTACTTTGAATGCAAGAAGCACTACTAATCATAAAAGATGAAAATTGGTAAATTAGATTTTATCAAACTTAGAGGCTCCTTTTCTTTCAAAGATACTGTCAAGAAAATTAAATGGCAAGCCACACCTGGGGGAAAGTATTCTGACAGAAGACTTGTAGCCAGAATTTGTTTAAAAACAAAAACCCTAGTAACTGGGTTATCTGTTAAGTATCCTCCCCCTATTTTAAATGGCCGCCTGTCTTCTTTTGAAGTTACCCTAGTAACTTCTTCGAAAGAAGACAGGCGGCCATTTAAAATAGGGGGAGGATACTTAAACAGATATTTCAGAAAAGATTCATGAATGGCCAAGAGCACGTGAAAAGGTATTCAGCATTGTTAGCCATCAGGGAAATGCAATTTAAAACCATTTCTGTCACTATAGATTCTAGAACATAATCAGCAGTGATAGAAATCATATCACTGGTTGCCTGTAAGATTATAATAGGTGTGATTGCAGAGTCACAAGGGAACTTTCTGGGGAGATAAAAATGTTTTATATCTTGATTAAGGTAGAGATTACATAGATGTGTAAATTTATCATGTTACAGTCACCGGAATAGCTAAAGTTAAAGACTGTCAGTACCAAGATGTGGAACAACAGGAGCATTGCTGTCAGGAGTATAAAACAGTACAACTACTTTGAAAAACAGTTGGACAGTTTCTTGTAAATTACACATTCACCTACCTTTTAACTCAGCATTTGCACCCTCAGTAATCAAAAGCATGTGTCTAGAAAACGTTTTGTATAAGAATGTTCATAGCAGCATTACTTTTGATAGCCTAACTCAAATAACATCAATAGGAGAATGGATTTGGAATGCAATGAAGTAATATGCAGCAATTAAAACAGTTAAACTACTATATACACAAAGACATCGAAAAAGTCTCACAGACATTAAGCTGAATGAACAAAGCTGACATGAGTGCACACTATATGATTCTATTTATGTAGATTTTAGGATCTTTAGTAATAGAAAGCAAGCACATCACTGGTTGGGGCAGGTATGGTGGGGTAACTGAAGAGGGGCGTTAAGAGAACTTTCTGGGGAGATAGAAATGTCCTATATTTTAATTGGGGTGGAAGCCACACAGTGTATACATTTATCAGAAGTCATCAACCTCTATACTTTAAATTGGACTTTTATTGTTTGTAACATACTTCAATAAAATTGATTTTCAAATAGCTTATTTTAATTTTAAAAAAATATTTTGAAGTAACCCTTCACATAACATTAGCTGTTTTAGGTATTATGTATTGTGAATAATACAGCTTTGCACATTTCTAAGACAAGGAAGGTATGAATGACACTATCCTCAGCTCTCATTTAGGTCCACTGTAGGTGAGCATGACCCCAGGCAATTACTGTATCTTCTATCCACAGGACTCCTGAAAAGCTGTTTGTTCAGAACTCATCCTGGCAACTTAGATCCCCTCAGAGCTCAGCTTGGTTTGTCTAGAACTTAGTTGTAATTTAGCATTGAGAATTATTTTCAAGTTATTTTCAATGGCATTTTAGTCTATAATTTCATTAACTTTAGTGAAAGTGATATTGAGTATTGATGCTATTATTGAAAGTGATATTAATCAATTATTTAATTATATTATTTGAAGTAATGAGCTTTCCTTCCTTTCTAGTCCATTTTTCAGTGAAGAATTTTACTTTGAGATTCCAAGAACTTTCCAGTATTTGTCTTTTTATGTTTATGATAAGAATGTTTTACAAAGAGATCTTCGTATAGGTATGTACTCTTCATAATTATCTTTAATCACAACATTAATGTTTTTATTCATTCTTTCTCTTAGTATAAAGTGTTGAAAACTGCAGAATAACATATGCTCAACATCTCTAATCTCTTTCTCTAGACTGCATGTTCATTTGTGAAATTTCATTTTTGATTTGTATGTTCAGCTTATATGACACTTTCTCAGGGAGGCCTTTGCATTTCCCCTAGTAAACATGTCATAATGTTTTTATATTAGATGATGGTTCCCTTTCCATGATACTCATTATGCTTGTTTGTTAGTTGGTTGTTTCATATCTGGGTTCTCTAGTTAAATGTGATATTTAAAAGGGCAGCGACTTTTTTTTTTTTTTTTTTTTCTAGACAGAATCTCTCTCTGTCACCAGGCTGGAGTGCAGTGGTGCAATCTCAGTTTACTGCAGCCTCCCCCTTCTGGGTTCCGGTGATTCTCCTGTCTCACCCTCCTGAGTAGATGGGATTACAGGTGCGTGCCACCATGCCCAGCTAATTTTTGTATTTTTAGTTGAGACGGGGTTTCACTGTGTTGGCCAGGCTTATCTTAAACTCCTGACCTCAGGTGATCTACCCACCTTGGCCTCCCAAAGTGCTGGGATTACAGGCATGAGACACCATGCCCCATCTGGCAGGGACTTTTTCTTACAGAGTACCTTACATTTAGTAAATGTTGGGTACTTGTTTAGTGGTTCAAATCTTGTTTTTATAAAAAGACTGCAGTATTGATCCTTCCAGAGAACATCTATTTTTGAGTTTTTTCTAATAGAAGTAATAATTCACTTTAATCTATTTATACATTATCTTTCTATCTGTATTAGTGACTGCATTAGTCCGTTCTCACACTGCTATAAAGACATACCTGAGACTGGGTGATTTATAAAGAAAATAGGTTTAATTGGCTCACAGTTGTTCAGGCTGTACAGGCTTCTGCTTCTGGGAGGCAAAGGTGGTAGAAGGTAAAGAGGAAGCAAGCACATCAGCACATGGTTGGCAGGAGAGAGGAGAGTGGGGAAGTGCTACATAATTTTACAATAACCAGATCTCATGAGAACTCACTGTCATGAGAACAACAAGGGGGATGTCCACCTGCGTGATTCAGTCACCTTCCGCCAGGCCCCTCCACCAACAGTGAGATTATAGTTTGACATGAGATTTGAGTGGGGACAGAGTCAAACCATATCAGTGACCAATAAATATATTTTTTAAATAATTGTCAGATTGGAGTGTGATCTGTGGGCATGAACTAGAACAAAGCTAACTGGCCACGTATGTGTCACATTCCTGATCTTTGCACCACTATCTTTGTATTTTAATCACAGGCAGAGGTCTAATTTACATTCATTATCATCTCTCTTTTTGGAGTCCTACATTTCATCATCTCCATTTCCTTTTTTATTTGAAACATGGTCAAGTCTCCTACAGCTTAAAAAATTAAGCGTTATTTGTCTTTGTCCTGTTAAATAACTCCTGATGTTTCTCTGCCTTTGATATTGAACTCTGTAACAAATGGTCTGTATCAGTCCTCTCCTTGCTACTTATTCCTTTTAAAGTCTCTGTAATCTGGCTTCTATGTTTTCTTTAATAAACCTTTTTCTGAAATTCGGCAACATCATTTTAATCAAATAACCTTTAAAACAATATATTTTTCTTAATTATAAAACTATTATATGTTCTTAATGTCTTGAAGTGATTCTGTGCAGAAGTAACTATAGTCAATAATTTGGTGTATTTGTATTTCTTCCATTCTTTATTTCATACATTTGTACTACTACATTGTATTATTCAGGTTTTTTTCTTTTTTCATTAATATCATAATGATCCTTTCATCACGTTATTAATATTTTTCAAAATATTTGTTATATAATATCCTTTGTAGAAAAGTGTTTTATTTTAACCACTTTCTTGTTGGTGAGCATTTACGTTTCCAAATTTTTGGCATACTTAATGGTGTTGCTATGAACAAATGTCCTTTGGCATAAATTTTTGCATGTCTGTTTTTCCCCCAGGATAAATTCTTAGAAGTAAAAATACTGGGTTAAGGAGTATGAAAGTTTTTATGATTTTTCTCTGCATATTTCTATCCCCACCCGCCCCACACAGTATCATACTGATGTGGACTACAGAAATATTGTACTAATTTACATTTCCCCAAGGATGTCTTGGGCATAACCATTTTACCACCCCTTGGCCATTCTTGCATATTATCATTGAAAAAAATTTTCCAATATGATAGGTGAAAAATAATACATTATTATTTTAATGTGAGTTTCTGATTGTGAAGGAATTTGAGGAATTTTTCATATGTTTATTGGTCTTTATAGTTTTCTTCTATGAATTAATTGTTCATTTCTTTGCCTATTTTTCTTTTGGTTTGAGTTCTAATTTTTGTTTATTCCTAAGCATTCTTATTTTTAGTTATGTTAACTTTTGTCAGCTATATATACCAAATACTCTTTCACAAAAGGCATTTTCTTAGTTTTTATTCTTATCTGCCTGTGTGTCACATTTCACTCTCTTGATTGCTTATTCAGTTTGTTGAGAGTGAAAGAAAAGACATTTTCACGGTGATGTATTTTTTTTAGATATTTTTCTCCCTCCTAAGGCTTCTTATATATAGACTCTTCTGTTTCTAGCAAACTGTTAATTGTAGATCACCCTTGAAGCTGCATCCTCAATTCAGTTAAACATTTACCAAACACCTCTCTGTGGCACACAAAGGATGGGACTTTTAAGATGAATAAGACTCAAGTTGCCCCCATGCTATCAGAGAGGCAGACTTTTAGTCTAATACTAGTATATTAGGGTCTGTGCTGGAGATTTGAGCAGAGTACTTGGAGAGAATAGTAGGGAGAACAGCTCGTTTTATTTGGTAGGAGGTTAACAGAGACTACATAGGTAGGAAAAGGAAGAACAGTTTCTTTTTTTTTTTTGAGATGGCATCTTACTGTGTCACCAGGCTGGAATACAGTGGCACGATCTCAGCTCACTGCAACCTCCGCCTCCTGGGTTCAAGGGATTCTCTTGCCTCAGCCTCCCGGGTAGCTGGAATTACAGGCATACACCACCACACCCAGCTAATTCTTGTATTTTCAGTAGAGACGGGGTTTCACCATGTTGATCAGGCTGGTCTTGAACTCCTGACCTCATGATCCACCCGCCTTGGCCTCCCAAAGTACTGGGATTACAGGCATGACCTACCAGACCCAGCCAGGAAGAACAATTTCAAGGTGACAGGGATTGGCAGAAGCATAGGGGGGAAAATGAATTATGTTTGTGATGTATCTGCTGGTAGAATGTGAAGCTGAGGATATAAATTGGGACCAAGCCGTGGTGAACCCTAGAAACCATTCTTAATTCCAAAAGCTAAAGAATTTGGACTTTATTCTGCAGACAGTGGTTTTGAACCTTTTGAGATTGTATGTAACTATATATAACTGGTGTGTGTGTGTTATATGCATTTGTATTGCTAGAAACGAGTCTGCATACTGTATAATATACAGTTATATATAGTTATGTATGCACATGTATTTACATACAGTTACATATACACAGTTATATATACACACGCATATCATATGTTCTACTTTAAATATGTAATCTATATACATCAAGTTTGTAGTTTGGAAGTTACTGTTGTAGGCCATAAGAAGTTGTTGATTTAGAATAGGGAGAGATTCGAGGCAGGAAGTCCAACAAGTATGCTATTATCAAATGAAATGAGTTAGATAGAACAGTTGCAGTGGAAATACAGATGAGGGAATATATTTCAGGAGTTTCAGATAGAACTTAGTGACCAAGATGATAAAAGAGATGTGAAAGGAGAAGAGTTAAAAATGGTCTTGTTTGTATGGCTGTTATTAACTGAGATAAGGAACACAGCAAGAACATTCACTTTTGAATGAGAAGGGGAGAGGATGACTGGTTTTAAACAAGTTAAACTTGTATTACCTGAGTTACATCTTAGTGGACATTTTGGTTGACAATTGGAAATATAGATCTGAAGCTTAGAGAAAAGATCTAGAGACGTAGATTTGAGAGTTATTAGCATTAAGTGATAGGTGAAGCCTGCGATGGAATGAATGAAATTACTTGGGAGTAGATAAGGAGGGTTTCAGAGAAGAGGCTTGAAGATAGATAAGGCATATCAGGAAGTAGAAAGAGAGATAGGAGAGATTAATATCACAGAAGATAAGGAAATCTTTTAATGTCAACAACTAGAGAAAGGTAGTTTCAGATAAGGATTGATAGAGGCTATTGATAATTATTAATAACCTTTGAAAGAATATGTAACTTTGACCATCATGATATCTTGAGAAAACGTTTAATTTTCATAGCCCCTTTACGTATGTTATTATCTTAATGTAGTATTTCTTGAAAAGGCCTTTAAGGGCTTTTAAATAGCAGCATAAAGTTGAGGTTTATGATTTCCAGAAGTTGGCTTTTTTTGTTTATTTTTAAAGTAAAAATCAATTTTAAGTAAAATAATTTCTAGTAAAAATCTATTCTTTAGGGAGTGGTGTCAGAAAGCTGTAACTTGGTATGAGAACTTTTTCTTAAATGTTTATTCTTTCTAAGGGATACAATTTTTACATTTAACAGAAAATTCTTTTTTCCTTTCACATATAGAATTGTTTTTAAAATAAAGACAGTACATACCCTTTAAGGTTGGAAGTAGTTGATGGTTTTACTAACAAATTTTTAACATTTTTGTAATTTAATAACATTCTCCATTAACGCGTAAAGTTGTTTATTCTTTTAATTTTGAGCTATTGGAAGTAGAATTTTCTTAATTTATAATTTGGAGTTGCTCAACTGTAGACTAAACAATGCCATAGCATTTTCTGGAAGTGAAACGAGCTAGAATTGAGAGAATCATCTTTTAAACTTAAGATTTGAGATTCTGTACAAATTGGGTATAGATAGATAGCTTTTCGGGATTTTTTATTTTTAATTATGTGAGTAATGTATTTTTGTTGTTGTTG